TTCGTAATAAGAAGTAGATTAAAAATACTCCCAATGGAGTATAAAATTGTCCCCAATATTCCGAAATACGACGAATCGAATCGGCAAACTTCGGTAAAATAATGAAGTGCATAAAAACCGAAATGATCCGATGAACGTTCGGATAAAATCGTGAACAGGTGTCAGGGGTTTCCCCTCATCTTTCCCCACATTGTTCTAAAAGCCTTATATGGATTTATCACGTAACATTCAAAATGACGTTCCTATATGGTTCTATATGGGTTCGAACACGTGACCAAATATACCAAATAAAAATTTTACCTTGACCACTGGATGGGATTTCATAGAAAATATCCAAGAAAACCTATCCTCGTGATCCTTAAATCACTTAAATTCGATCATTTTATTTTCACCCCTTGATGGAATTTTATGAAAGAAGTCATGAAAACACATCATCATGTAAGGGTTTTCACCTAAATTAGCTCGTTTTATCTTGAGCCTTCAATTGAATTTCTTGAAGAAATATTTTATGAAAAAATATCATCATGTTATGATTTGTATTTAAATAAGACCGTTTCATCTAAATACTTGGATAATATTTCATTTTAAAATTTTTCAGAATTTGCCTTAATTTATCAATGTAATGAAAGTATAAGATTAACTCTCAAATAGCGTTCTATTTTAACCTTTTTATTGAAATCAATACAGGACTCGCTCTCTAAATATCCAATAAAAATTCAACCCTTGGATGTGATTTCGTTGGAAAAAAAATATGTCAAGTCCAGAATCAAATGATTTGTCCAGAACCTCTTAAGATCCTGTTTAAGGCAAATACATATCACTGGCTTCCCTGATTCATTTAGATTCCTTGCACTTTTAAAATCAATCAATAATTCAATCATATATGGTTGAACTATCGAATAATGAAACGTTGCAAATGATGTGATAGAAGTTTTTATACTATTTAGCTTGGAAATATTGCTGATATAGTTTTAATGTGATTTTAGGAGATTAAATGTTCTACTGAGGAACTTTGATTGTGTTAAATTTTCTATGATCTTTAACTTTCTGAAAAAGGTCGGGCTAAATTCTCATTGAGACGATGTTAAAAATCTTAATGTTGACTTCCTAAATGTTGAATTCTTTTGATTGTCATGAATTTAAGGTTCACACAAAATCTGAAGATCATCTAGTTTCAAACACAATCTGAATCTCATTAAGTTTGATGCGAAAGCAGTTTTACTTTAAAATGGAAATATTGCTGATATAGTTTTAATGTGATTTTAGGAGATTAAATGTTCTACTGATGAACTTTGATTGTGTTAAATTTTCTATGATCTTTAACTTTCTGAAAAAGGTCGGGCTAAATTCTCATTGAGACGATGTTAAAAATCTTAATGTTGACTTCCTAAATGTTGAATTCTTTTGATTGTCATGAATTTAAGGTTCACACAAAATCTGAAGATCATCTAGTTTCAAACACAATCTGAATCTCATTAAGTTTGATGCGAAAGCAGTTTTACTTTAATCCAAAATAACAAATATGGTAAATCAATATGTGTCTATGGTAGATGCTAGCGTGTCGTTTAACCAGCACAAGTGCTGCCATCTACCTATCCATTCATCAGTTTAGCACCTAATAAGGTCAGTACTCATGGTAAAGCTTTTGTACCTTGTCTATGGTAAAAATAAATCAAACAGAAATGTTAACTTGACACGATTGGTAATGCCCACCTTGAAGGGTGTAGGGATAAAGGGAAGGGTCGGGATAATACTTATATAAAATATTTAAAGTGTCTAATAATGATAATGAACATATTACAATGTTACACAACATAAGTAGATGCTAATTAAATGTCAATTGTTGTTGATATAATATGTATTTTTCATTTAATGCTGCAACAAGTACACACGTACCAAAAAGTGCCACGCCCACTTTTCCCTAAAAGCAGCTATGTGTGACTATATTTGATAAATATTATTGATTTATAGGATCATTATGAACACTTTTCAGTGTTTGAATGTTAAAATATACATATTGATACAATTTTTGACAAAGTAGCAGCCATAAAATCCAAACAGATTTGCAAATATTTCACTTTGAGATCAAAAGGACACATTTGGGAGGGGGTCAAATTGAGAATATTTCAAGATATAAATACTGTTTCTATGGTAACCATATCAGTTAGAGATTGGAAATTTCTGGCACTTACTAACCATTACATGCCCTACCCAATATAAAACAATGAATATCTGACATGCATTAGTATTCTTTTTATTGGGTGGTATTAAAGTACCCCCATGGTTTTTTTGGGGTAGGGGTATAAATTGGTCTGAGGAGCGTCTGCCACCCCTATAGAAAGTCCAACTACCCAGAAAGTGTCTAATGTCATCATACAGATGGTTTGAAATAGGTTGGAATGTGTAACCTTTCATGTAAGGAAGGAGTTACAATTATCAGAGTGGGCCGTAGTCTAGTTATTCAAGAAGTCAAAATCGCCCTTACTAGATGCAATTAGAAAAAGTTTTGATTTTCGTTATTAGATATTCAAATTAGGCAAACTGATATCATTTTTTGAAATTACTTTTTTAAAAGATGCATGGTATTAAAAAATCGTTTATAATTAGCAGCGTTGACATTTTAATTTTCTTTGAAAAGTAACTTCTAATTCTCTTACAGGGTGTTCTCCACATCTGTCGCTGTTGTAGGGTGCAATCAACAGTGAAAGTGTGACAGTTGCCGTTTATTTTGTTTATCTTACGTGTATATAAAATAATTTCATAAAAAGTTTGACGAAATGATTTGGTTCACAAGAATTTTTTCCTTTTGTTATGGTTGTCTTGAGCTTAAAACCTTTTCAAATCTAATTTGTTTAGAAATTCGAATAGACGGCGGAAAAGGTGATCAGATCTTTTGATTTTGGTGGCAATTTTTCCAGAGACACTTCGATTGGGACATGTGGAGTTATCTCCTGTTACATGGGATGTGGTACTTGAAATCTTTGTTTATTGAGAAGTGATAAAACTATGGACGTGGAATAATATTTCAAATATCGTGATCCATTATCCATGAGAGGCATAGCAGTGGGTATCAATGACTGTGTCTTGTATTGATGAAACTTAATTTTACTTCTTATTTGATGAAACAAAAATAGATGTCACTGTCAACATTTTTACCTCTTGAGGACCTTTAATTCTCTAATACCATATACTGTTGTTACTTCTGTAATACTGATCACCAGGATCCCTGGATTAGTAGTCACAGCGATAAATAGTATCAAAAACAATTTAATGACACGGTTTATGGCATCCTATAGGGATTCCTGACAAGTTCGTTACGTTGCCAATTACTAATCAACATCAGCATTTATATTCATCCTCACAGACCTCATCTCACAAAATCGTGAGTGTTAGTCTTGAATTGTTTCTAATTCCAACGTTTCACTTTGCTTTCATAATTAGTATGTAAACGTTAAAGTGTGATGCTTGGTGGATAAACTTGGTAAATGTATTCGTAAAATATGAGTGGGACATAGTCTATTTCTGGGTATATGTTTTCAGTCTTTCATTGCAGGGATATTTCTATTCAAATTGCTATTCATATGCTCAGAGTTAAACAAATGATGGTTGTATATTTTGAATTGAAAGTCAGGATATACATTCCTCTATTCTTCACGTATTAACAATTCATAAAAGTTTAAGAGCTTTTAAAGAGCTTTAAAAAATTTCAAGGTCAAATTTCAACTTATTTCAAATCTGAAACACTTGTTATACTTTTGCAACCATTTGCAGGTGGTGACATTTTGTCATGCCAATGCCATGTAAAAAGTATTACTGCGTACGCATACTTGGGGCATAAAAGTTCATTTAAACAGAAACAGATTCGAGATATTTTTGAAAAGAATATTCTAGCGGATGCTCAACCATTTTGAAACGAGATGGGCGCCTGATGTTATCGGACGTGCATCTGGCCTTGGTGAACAGCAGAAAAGGATAAAACGTAAACGGATATTTATAGATTGAACTGTCTGACAACCACTGACACATAAATGAATGATTACTAGAAAACATCCAGGTTTTTTTGTAAACATTACTCAATATGGAGACGATGTTTATTCATGTGTGGAATGGAATTAGAACTAAGACCTGGCATCCTATAATTGAACATATATCCAAGACTTCCAAACAAGTTGCCAATGTTTTACGTTTTACGTTGATCCTAACCTCGAGCTCCAATTGCTGCTAAAAACAAATTTGGGAAATGCAGAAACTATTAAAAAGCCAAATTTCACAATTATCTAACTATACGCATTTTCTCCAGATTGCTTTACTTATTTAACGAAGGTTTTACAAAGCTATAAAATCCTACAACTGAACTAGCTTTTAGATGATAGTGTTCTCATTCCTTATTTCGTTATTTTAACTATTGATGTTGTGGGGTGTAATCCGTTTGAGACGTGCATATCTGTTGGAACTATATGAGAATTAATGTATCAAAATTAAATTGACAAATATTAACGTTATCTTTAGTAAACAAACTATTTATTACTTTAATGGCGTGGTCATATGCTCATTTCTTTGTCTTTTGGTTGGGTAACACATTGTTTAGGTAAATAATGTAGATTTACCTTTAATTAGTTCGGACTTAAACAATCGTAGAGTTCATAAAACAGCAATTATTGTACCCCTTACCGAGTATCACCATAGTAACACGCGACAATATGATGCTATCCATTGATTATCAAGCTTAACACCTCGCCGCCATCTGTATATGCCCTTACATAAGGTACCCATATACGAAGGGACACGAAAGTGAAATGCTGAGAAATATTTGAAAGATCTTGTTATATATAATATATAGCCTAGCTGTATCAAAAAAGAACGAGTAATTCGTTCATTTTCACGCAAACTGTAAATAATATCCAAGGATTGTCATAGTTACCACATTAGATTTGTAATTTTCTAACGAGTATGCATCATTTTACTTTTTATGATTTTGATTGATTGTTTTTTACTTGCAGGAGAAAGACCCGGTGAACGCTAATAAAGGCTGTTGACAAATGAATTAAAGTTTCCGAATTCGAATTTCCCGCCGATTTGCAGTGAGTGGTGAAAAGGCTATTTCTATTTAGAGCTGCATACGAAAAATCTAATAGTTGAGCATTATCAGCCAGCGTAGACCTTTTATCACCTATTGTTTTATACAGTATATTAGATCCAGATATTAATATGAAACGGCATCATAGTAAATAGCCAAGTGAAAGTGATAACCGTGTGGAGAAAATTACACAGAAGCGAAATTGCTTTCAGCCTATCATTGCTTAGCTCCAGGTGTGACGTCGGCACACCACAACAACCGCCTATATGCCTTTCCCATTCAAGAGCAAAACCTACAAAGCTGAGGCTGTGGAGCGTCAGGCCTCTGGAACTGCCTCTGCCCAGACTATGGGTAATGGGGCCAGCGCTACGCACATAGTGGCTGACGGGGAGAGCTATGATCTTCAGAAGATTAAAATCCTTCTCCCCCAGCTCAAACGAGAGCTTAAAGAGAAGGATCTTAAGATTGAGGAGTACCAAATGGACTTACAAGATAAAAATAAGAGAATAAGAGAACGTGATATCGAGATACAGCGACTTAGAGAAGAGGTGGATAAATTAAAATCAGTCCTTCAGCTCACAGTACACAAGGATGGAAAGCCAGATATACTGGCCACAATACACGAGGACCAGGGGTCAGGGGTGCGGACTAAAAAACAGGGTGTCTCCGGAGAAAGTTCCCCATTTGGACAGAACTCTGTGGAACTCAAATACTTTGACAAAGATTTCAGGTAAGTGGCCAAATGTATTTACTTGCTGTATAGTAGTAACGTAATTATCAACTATGAAAAATGTAATTCGGTCAATGTCATCGTCATCTGTATGTTTTCTCTGAACGATAATATCACGTATAAGTAATACTACAAGTACACGATTTCGATTTCTAGCTGTGCTTCGATGTGGATGGACTTGTATTGTATATTGCATCAAAGAAGATTGATATAATTAGTTTAGACTTTTCCCCACATGAGGGAGATGTCTACATCTACGGAATGCTAACCAATGTGCTCATTGATTACCTGTCTTGTATTACCCTGCCAAATCGTTACGATGTGGTCAATATACAATACTCAGGTGTCCCTATCAAATCATTACCTATATGATATTAGTCTAGCCAAGGCGATGTTATTATCCGGAAGGAAATACCCGATGGTAAAAATTAATTCGATATTCTATTGACAGTTCAGCGGAGTGATGATGCCAATATCAGAATATATTATTCCATACATTGCTCCGTTCATTCAAAAGCATGCATCATAGGCTCTCGTGGTGACCAGTACCGATGCAGGATTGCAGATGACGTTCGTAATTTTGATGCATCACGTTGATAAAAACGTTGGTAAAATTACACTATGAAGAACATACAAATCCACGCATTAACTCTTTTGCGCGGTATTTAATTATTTTTAAAAGCTACCGAGCGGTAATTAATTTACTAAAAATTAGGATTTTCATGCCTGCCAATTTGAAAGTGACATAAAACCTAAACCAACAGAGATAACACCACCAAATTTTTACTCATAATTGGAAACATATGTATAAATCATATGTTAACGTATGAACGTGACAAATAGAGGCACTGATGATAAAAAATCCTAAACATTATGTATTGCAAAAAAACATAAGACCCCTACTAAATATTACCTTGGTGTACCCCAGCAGCTTCCCTTGCCTGTCCCCCAGGCACAGAGTTGTCAGGCCCATCATCGTTCTGAGTTTCATTTTCTGAGGCTTCAAATATTAGGCTTCACTGCCAGAATAATTGAATATAGCAGCGATTTGATCATTATTACCCGTCTAAATCTAGCCCTTTTTAAATACCACAATGTCTGATCACTTCCAGATTCGTATTTGTTACAAAATAAATCAATTAAGTGACCAAAATAAATTTTTTCAGAAACTTTGCTTCGCCAAATTAATTTTAAATCACTTCCTGTCAATGTGAGTAACAAATATTGGCACTGCAATACAAGGGTGACATCTTTTGAAGTCTGCTAAAACTTTCCTATAGCATGTCGACTCCAGGTTGACATACGCCATAAAGCGTAGTGGCGACAAAACTCGCCTGACCGCGCAAAAGAGTTAAAATAGATTGATCACGAATTGAAATAGCTATTAAACGATTAGTTCATGATAAATATATGTATATGAGGGTAATAGTACATTTATGGTCACCGATGATCAAAAGCATCAAAGTTGAATCATAAAATCTCAAATGGATGCCACTCAAGATTTATTTCAGGAACTTTGATAAAGTATGTTTTTCTTATGACCCCATGCCGAGTGAATTCCTCCCGATTTTAATATCTGTTTCAGCCTCGTTAGATTCGTCAAAGTAACAGGTAGATCTGTGTCTCTGGTATAAGCAGTGCCCAGCAACGAACAAGAGTCTTAAATGATAAGAATTAATCACTTACTCATTTATGAAGAACCTTTTCTCGTTATAGCTCTGTTGAATCAAATAACATTGAAATCAGTCTTCCCCTTCAATACCCCCCCCCCCTCCCACCCAACACACGTAGTCAGAAAATGTCGATACATGTGCTTCAATATAGGATGTTAATTCACCTAGCCAAACTCACTGTTCCACAACTGGATGACTCTAACTGCAGTTAGCTTCATTCAAGATGGTGGACAAAATTCGTTCGTTTTCGATAAATCTCCAATTACAGCCAAACCAAGCTGAATCTTGATCCCAAAAGTTTCGCCATGCAAACTAATAAAGATATAATTGTAAACAACCACAAATAAAGGCTCACGCACCCGCGATATTAGAGAAATTGAAAGAAAACGGCTTCACTTAGAATGACTCTAACTGAAGTTAGTGATGACGTAGGAATAAAGCTAACTGAAACGGGGAATGAAGCTAACTCAATGGGATGAATATATGGACGGCCCTGATGACTGTTGTTATTGGTTGTAGCCATTTGTATTTTGACATGGAGTGAGTTTCTATTCAATCCCATGGCCGGTGATCGTAGAAATTGGACGGAGGGGAGCAGACAAATTCTGGTAGAAATTTCAACAAATCTGGAAAATTTACTTTTTCAAGACAAAATTTAGTTTACGATTGATTGGCCAAATGAATAGGCTTACGGTATGGTAAAATATTGTAAGTATTCTAGGATTAAAGTATATGATGTAAAAGGCGAAATGCCGCAAACGTCCGAAAGTCAATGTTTTGCTAGTCAAGCAAGAATGGTCTACACGTCCTGTAATTAAAAAACGCCACCAAGGAACATTGCAGTATTCTTATTTTAGGTTTACTGAAGACAGATACAGAGACCAGACTCCAACGGATAGGAAAGCGTTAAAGGATGACATAATTTTGTATTTCAGGATCCATCTCAATGCCATAATCCACGGCGCCAAACTGTGTTTGTTTATCAACCAAAACACCACCAAACCCATATCAAAACCTATAAAACTATACATCAAAATGTAGCCACAAACCCCCGCTACAAAATGAAACAATTTACAATGTTACCTGACAAGGAACATTGTCAACAGAATCAATTATTGCACGAAATCACAGTTCGAAGACACCAAAATGGAACATTATCATCGAATTCGTGTTCTTACCAACAACCTCCAACACTAAAACACGAGCGAAATGTTCTACAAAGCCTAACTAATAAGATGTAACAAATTTCATCTGAATTGACGCACCACAACGGAAACTATAAAAGATACAAAACAGGCAAGAAACACAAATTTCCGAGCAAATCGTTCACTTTACGGGCATTTCCAAAAACCGGAAGCTTGTTCTCTAACGTCCGCGCAATATTATATAAAGAGAAGCGCCGAACTACTGCATACTGAGACAAGAACAACAAGAAACTACCTCTTCAAACCAAATGAACAACGCAAGGCTAACGCCCATCATACCAGGTGCACTTCTCACACCAGAGATCTCACTATGTATGAATAGGTACCAAACCTATCGCATATACTAATAATGTACACAAATACATTAAACTATTGACTCTACTAAGAATTAACGAATATACCTACACTATAATACCCCAAACCACTAACTTGTATCTAAACTCCACGATACACCAAAACCCAACACAACCTGCTACTCAATATACAACCTACCACAACCAACCATTACAACCAAGCACAACCTATAAGATCACCAACAACGCAACACAACCAATGTCTGAAGAATTAGAACGCAGCTGAACTCACAATTACCAAGAACACAACCCACTGTCAAATTAGCACAACACAATTTGGCACAACCACACAACCAAACCAAACTATCAAAACACAATCAGGAACAACCAAACTAAAACCCCAACACAGAGAGATCACACAAGACAACCGAACACAACAAAATAATATCACCCGACTAGGCACAACCGACCACCTATATTAACATAATCGGGCACAACCCGCCACCACCCCTCATTTAACGATCAGGCACAACCAACCACACAACACAATCGGACTCAACCAGATACCTCACCTGACTGGGCACAACCTGCCCCCCGAACAGCATAACAAAATCACAACATAACACAACGCATTTTAAAATTAACATAACACAATGAGGCACAACTTGAAACCAGGCTAAATAAACAACCAGACACAACCCAACTACAAGCCAACAACACAATACGACACAACCCAATACTACAACCTTAGTTTAACCTCCGAAAACACAACCAATTGTCAGATATACGCAAATACAATTTGGCACAACCAGATAATAAAACAACAAAACCAAAACACAACCCATTATTGACGAAGAACAACACAATTTTACACAAAACAATCAAAACACAATCAGGCACAACCAAACTGGAATACCAAAACACCCAACCAACACTCTCTGAAAACAACACCACTTGTATCTAAACTCCACGATACACCAAAACCCAATTCGGCATAACCTGCTACCCAATATACAACCTATCACAACCAACCATTACAACCAAGCACAACCTATAAGATCACCAACAACGCAACACAACCAATGTCTGAAGAATTAGAACGCAGCTGAACTCACAATTACCAAGAACACAACCCACTGTCAAATTAACACAACACAATTTGGCACAACCACACAACCAAACCAAACTATCAAAACACAATCAGGAACAACCAAACTAAAACCCCAACACAGAGAGATCACACAACTCAACCGAAAACAACCAAATAAACTCACCCGACTAGGCACAACCGACCACCTATCTTAACATAATCGGGCACAACCCGCCACCACCCCTCATTTAACGATCAGGCACAACCAACCACATAACACAATCGGACTCAACCAGATACTTAACCTGACTTGGCACAACCTGCCCCCCGACCAGCATAACAAAATCACAACATAACACAACGCATTTTAAAATTAACATAACACAATAAGGCACAACTCGAAACCAGGCTAAATAAACAACCAGACACAACCCAACTACAAGCCAACAACACAATACGACACAACCCAATACTACAACCTTAGTTTAACCTCCGAAAACACAACCAATTGTCAAATATACGCAACACAATTTGGCACAACCAAATAATAAAACAACAAAACCAAAACACAACCCATTATTGACGAAGAACAACACAATTTTACACAAAACAATCAAAACACAATCAGGCACAACCAAACTGAAACACGAAAACACCCAACCAACACTCTCTGAAAACAACACCAATCACGCAACACAATCTGACACAACCACATTCTTCATCCTACTTGGCACAACCC